TTTCTGTAGAACGGAAGTCAAAAAGTAAAATTAGGAGGCAAAAATCTTCAGGGTGGCCATAAAGACATTGTAACTTGTCTGGAAATTCCAACCAACACTGTATGTGTATCCAATGACATACCAATAGACTGGCTTCATCTTCTTGGATGTGTAATAATACCTTACAGAATCATTTCTTTTCTTTTTCTTTTTCTTTTTTTTTTTTGAGATGGAGTTTTGTTCTTGTTGCCCAGGCTGGAGTGTAATGGCACGATCTTGGCTCACTGCAACCTCTGCCTCCTGGGTTCAAGTGATTGTCCTGCCTCAGCCTCCCGAGTAGCTGGGATTACAGGCATGTACCACCATGCCCGGCTAATTTTGTATTTTTAGTAGAGAGAAGGTTTTGCTGTGTTAGCCAGGATGCTCTCAACCTCCTGACCTCATGATCTGCCCACCTTGGCCTCCCAAAGTGCTGAGATTACAGGTGTGAGCCACCGTGCCCGGCCTCAGAATCCTTTCACAGACATCTCATTTCATCCTTAGAGCACTGTGAAAAGATACAGCACCAAATAGGTACCTGTTTCTACTGAAGAAGATGTGGCAGCTCAGGGAATTTGTGGATTTGTCTAAGGTTGCCTGACTTTCAGGCAGAGCTGGGGCTAGAATGATTGTTCTGCTCTGTCCGTTGATAGAATATGCATAAGAACAGGCTTGATGGTGGCTGACCTTGTTTTTTTTTCTTTTTTTGAGACAGTTTTGCTCGTCACCCAGGTTGGAGTGCAGTGGTGTGATCTCAGCTCACCGCAACCTCCACCTCCCAGGTTCAAGTGATTCTCCTGCCTCAGCCTCCTGAGTAGCTGGGTTTACAGGCCTGCGCTGCCACGCCTGGCTAATTTTGTATTTTTAGTAGAGACTGGGTTTCTCCATGTTGTTCAGGCTGGTCTCAAACTCCTGACCTCAGGTGATCCGCCCACCTCGGCCTCCCAAAGTGCTGGGATTACAGGCATGAGCCACCCATGCCCAGGAGACTGATTTCTCTTTTTTTTTTTTTTTTTAATGGAATCTCTCTCTGTTGCCCAGCTGGAGTGCAGTGGCATGATCTCGGCTCACTGCAACTTCCGCCTCCCAGATTCAAGCAATTCTCCTGCCCCAGCCTCCCAAGTAGCTGGGATTACAGGTATGAGCCACCATACTCAGCTAATTTTTGTATTTTCAGTAGAGATGGGGTTTCACCATGTTGGTTAGGCTGGTCTCGAACTCCTGACTTCGTGATCTGCCCGCCTTGGCCTCCCAAAGTGCTGGGATTACAGGCATGAGCCACCACACCTGGCCCTGATTTCTTATTAACTAGATTTATAGTTGCTTTGATAAAAATCAGTCTAGTCTTTTTGGAGTGTCTTTCTGCCATTTCTTTTTTTTTTTTTTGAGACGGAGTCTTGCTCTGTCGCCCAGGCTGGGGTGCAGTGGCTGGATCTCAGCTCACTGCAAGCTCCGCCTCCCAGGTTTATGCCATTCTCCTACCTCAGCCTCCCGAGTAGCTGGGACTACAGGCGCCTGCCAACCCGCCCGGCTAGTTTTTTTTGCATTTTTTAGTAGAGACAGGGTTTCACTGTGTTAGCCAGGATGGTCTTGATCTCCTGACCTTGTGATCCGCCCGTCTCGGCCTCCCAAAGTGCTGGGATTACAGGCTTGAGCCACCGCGCCCGGCCCTTTCTGCCATTTCTAGGGCCAACCTTTTTCTTCTCCATGAATCACTGTCAATATTGGGAATTTTAAATACCTTTTTTTAAATTCAAAAGCCATAGTATGTTCCCCAGCCAGTATGTTAGAACACCATGCATGATCCCATGTGTACAAAAAGCTTTCTGGCTGAATTCGGATGTGACCTGAGATGGCCAAACACAGAGGTATGTGCTGGGGGAGTGAGAGAAATCTCTGGACAGAACACAGGGCTGTTCCCCACCCAGGATATGGACCAACTATTTTAGGTTATGGTGACTAATTAAAGAAAATTGACATGCAAATAAATGAATAATTCTTAGAATCAGGATGTCTGGGTACTGGTTCTTTGGTTGGCCAGGTGAAATTCCATGCCAGGCCCAACAATTAAACTCTGTAGAGACTTTTTTTTTCCTGTTGTACCAGAACATTGTACTGAGGCCACGTTTGAACATTCAAACGATGTGTTGGGAGAATGCTGCCCTACAATGTTAAATTAAATCTTTTGGGGAGTCTTTCCTTTGACCAGTTTATATCTCTGTTTTAGAGGAGGGCTTCTCAACCAGAATGGGTTTGTTGATTTATTTTTATAGATCTCTGGTAGAGAAGACCAGATGGTGTAAGTTCATGGTGTAAGTTCATCATTCCTTCCCCTTATTGTGGCTCTGCTTAGGAAGAAAAAATCTTTGCCTTGGCTACCAAGTTCCTATCTATTCAAGATGCCACTGACAAAGAGTGAATCTGTGAATCACATGAATCTGGACTATCTGAAATATATCCAAACAAAAAGCACCTAGCCTTTTAATGACTCTCCGGAAGTCAGTTCTCTGACTGTAATTATCATCCTTCTGGGGGTATGTGGAAATTCTACACAAGCTGATTGGTGATATGTTGAGACGTGAGATCTGTATTTTCTAAGCAAAGTTGCCATGCACCTGATTGATTGGCTAGGTGCATCCTGGCGTTTGTCGTTTGTTGGTGTGGTCTGATAGTTGGTTTCACCACTGCTGGGTACCTAGAGTCATCACATCCATAGAGACAGAATGTAGGCTGGTGGTTGCCAGGGGCTGCGGGAAGGGAGGAGTGGGGAATTTGTTTAACAGATAGAGACTTTTAGTTTTGCAAGATGAAATGAGTTCTAGAGATTGGTTGCACAACAATGTGAATATACTTAACACTACTGAACTTTATACTTAGAAATGGCTAGGATGGTAAATTTTATGTTACCTGTATTTTAATACACACACACACAAAAACTTTGGGCCAGGCACGGTGACTCACACCTGTAATCCCAGTACTTTGGGAGGCTGAGGCGGGCAAATCATAAGGTCAGGAGTTCGAGACCAGCCTGGCCAACATGGTGAAATGCCGCCTCTACTAAAAATACAAAAAATTAGCCGGGTGTGGTGATGGGCGCCTGTAATCCCAGCTACTTGGGAGGCTGAGATAGGAGAATTGCTTGAACCCGGGAGGTGGAAGTTGTAGTGAGCCAAGATCGCGCCACTGCACTCCAGGCTAGGTGACAGTGTGAGACTCCATCTAAAAAAAAAAAAAACTAAAAAAAAAGTAATGAGAGCTTACTTCAAGATGGCAGCAAAAGACAGACAGTGGAAAAAAGGCATTGGGGAAAAAAAACCAACGTGCCTTGGTGATTAAAGTTAACTGAGTCAAGGGGAGAAGTCAAAGGTAACTATAATAGGCTTTTTCTATTAACACAAATAGGGAATGAGTGGTTTTGGGAAAGAAAGTGATGAATTATACCTCAGATATTATATTGTCTATTACTGTGGCTGGGCATAGTGGCTCACACCTGTAATCCCAGCACTTTGGGAGGCCAAAACAGGCAGATCACTTGAGGCGAGAAGTTCGAAACCAGCCTGGCCAACATGGTGAAACCCTGTCTCTACTAAAAACACAAAAATTAGTGTGGTGGCATGTGCATGTAATCCCAGCTACTCAGGAGGCTGAGGCATGATAATTGCTTGAACCTGGAAGGCAGAGGTTGCAGTGAGCTGATATGGCGCCATTGCATTCCAGCCTAGGTAACAAGAGCAAAACTCTGTCTCAAAAAAAAAAAAAGATTTGCCTGTAATGAGCCAGTACCCCCAGCTTTGTGCTCACTTTACATACAAAAATTATGTTGTTTACTGTAGAGCAAAAATTGAAGGGCACATTCAAAACTGAGAGGTAGGCCAGGCGTGGTGGCTTATGCCTGTAATCCCAGCACTTTGGGAGACCGAGGCAGTGGATCACTTGAGATCAGGAGTTCGAGACCAGCCTGGCCAACATGATGAAACCCCATCTCTACTAAAAAATACAACACATTAGCCAGTCATGATGGTGCACACCCGTAGTACAGCTACTTGGGAGGCTGAGGCAGGAGAATCGCTTTAACGTGGGAGGCAGGAGGTTGCAGTGAGCCGAGATCACGCCACTGCACTCCAGCCTGGGTGACAGAGTGAGATCCTGTCTCAAAAACAAAAAAAAGACAAAAGCAAAACAAAACCTAGAGGCAACAGATTGATAAGTGACACAGTTACACTGGTCAGTCTCTTCTGCTAATACCCATTGTCTTTCATTATTGAAGATTCATAACGTGTTTTCTTTCTTTTTTATTTTTTTTTTGAGATATGGTCTTACTCTATCACCCAGGTTGGAGTGCGGTGGCATGATCTCTCCTCACTACAACCTCTGCCTCCTGGGTTTAAGCAATCCTCCCGCCTCAGCCTTTTGAGTAGCTGGGACAACAGGCACATGCCACCATGCCTGGCTAATTTTTGTAGAGATGAGGTTTCACCATGTTGCCCAGGCTGGTCTTGAACTGCTGACCTCAAGTGATCCGCCCACCTCAGGCTCCCAAAGTGTTGGGATTACAGGCGTAACCCACTCACTTGGCCTCAGTGTATTTTAATATTGGTTGAGACTAGCCTTGCTCATTGATCTTCTCTTTTAGGGTTTACTTGGTTATTCTTGCTTATTTTTCCATAACAACTTTCATTTTTATTTAATCCTGTGTTTTCTAGTTTTAAAGACTATTTTATAATAAATTTTCATGATTAAACTCTTGTGCTTAAATTGTTGATTAAACAAACAAACAATGAAGAGATGAATGAAGCAGAAAATGTGAGTTTCATGCCTCACATTCCCACTCCTCTGAGGTTAATATTTTCATATATATATTTTCAGGATGTATTTGTAATCTCATACAAATGTGTGTATTTTTTTAATGAAAATATTTAAATTTTTGTAGTTACACCTGTAGCTCTAACTAACTTGGCAATATCCTCTGTGTTTCTTTACAGCCATTATACTTGCCCACGAATCTTTGAGAACATTATAATGACCTTTGTGCCTCTTCTTGCAAAGTGTTTTCTCAGCTGTTATCTCAAGACATGGATATAAAAAATTCACCATCTAGCCTTAATTCTCCTTCCTCCTACAACTGCAGTCAATCCATCTTACCCCTGGAGCATGGCTCTATATACATACCTTCCTCCTATGTAGAGAGCCACCATGAATATCCAGCCATGACATTCTATAGCCCTGCTGTGATGAATTACAGCATTCCCAGCAATGTCACTAACTTGGAAGGTGGGCCTGGTCGGCAGACCGCAAGCCCAAATGTGTTGTGGCCAACACCTGGACACCTTTCTCCTTTAGCAGTCCATCGCCAGTTATCACATCTATATGCAGAACCTCAAAAGAGTCCCTGGTGTGAAGCAAGATCACTAGAACACACCTTACCTGTAAACAGGTAAGTCCAGTCTTCATTCTGAATTATAGTTCCTGGCCATTTCTCAAATCACTTTATGGTTTAGTGAGAAGGAAATAATATGTTAGACAAGGTCTTTATTTTAATTTTAATTTTTATTTTTTTGAGACGGAGTCTTGCTCTGTCGCCCAGGCTGGAGTGCAGTGGCGCCATCTTGGCTCACTGCAAGCCCCACCTCCCGATTTCACGCCATTCTCCTGCCTCAGCCTCTCGAGTAGCTGGGACTACAGGTGCCCATCACCACGCCTGGCTAATTTTTTGTATTTTTAGAAGAGAGGGGGTTTCACCATGTTAGCCAGGATGGTCTTGATCTCCTGACCTCGTGATCCACCCGCCTTGGCCTCCCAAAGTGCTGGGATTACAGGCGTGAACCGCTGCGCCTGGCCTAAGTTCTTTATTTTATTAATTACATAGTTTACTTAGAGCACCCAAAACACAGGATGTCCTGTTCTATTCTGATACTTTAGTTCTCATTAAAAAGTGGTATGTGTACATCAGTGTTGTGGGGAGAATTTGCTATCATGACTATTGTCTTTATACAGTAAAGACTGAACTTAAGTCACTGTTTTTCTTTTTTTGAGACAGGGTCTCGCTCTGTCACTCAGACTGGAGTACAATGGCGCGATCTCGGCTCACTGCAACCTCCACCTCCTGGGTTCAAGTGATTCTAGTGCCTTAGCCCCCTGAGTAGCTGGGATTACAGGTGCATGCCACCATACTTAGCTCGTTTTGTTTTTGTTTTTTTTTTGTATTTTTAGTAGAGACAGGGTTTCACCATGTTGGCCAGGCTGGTCTTGAACTCCTGACCTCAAATGATCCTCCTGCCTTGGCCTCCCAAAGTGCTAGGATTATAGACGTGATGAACAACTGCGCCTGGTCTGAACTTAAGTCACTGTTAACGGAGTTATTTGGATTTGAAAAATGATTTTTACTTTACTTTCAGTTTTAGAGTCGTCTTATAGTGAAATCACAATTTAATGTTAATGACAAATTGTTTCCAGGATAAAAGTAACTGTGGCAGTATTACAACTTAAATGAAATTCTAGACATGCAAAGCCTGAAAAGACAGATGATTGGTATAAGCTTTTTAACCATGAACTAAAATAATAACATTATATAAAGATTGGTGGAAACTATTGAAGTATAGGCTTCAATTAACATTCCCTGAAGTTATAAAGGATATGTGTACTCTTTAAATGCAAGGTAATGTTATGGGTTATTTCCATCTAATTATTAACATTTCTAATGATAATAGGTATGAAGGGAAGGGATGGTATAATGAGAAAGGAGAGGGGGAGATAAACATCTAAAACAAAGTACTAAGGGCATATTGGATATTGAAATTCGTTACTTTCAAATATTATCATAAAACTTTGAGACAGTAACATTGCACTGTAATTCTTTTTTTTCTTCTTTTAAAAACATTTTACTCATTGATAGAATAAAGAAGAGAATATAAACATTGTGGATAACTTTTTTAAAGTAATGGTTTTTTTTTCTTCCTTCTTTAAAGGAAGACATATTTTGTGTCTGAGCATGAATTATAATCAAAGTTCTGCTAATTTTGGGGCAAATTAATCCACGATATAATTACCTTCATTTATAAATCAATAATACCTTCACCATTCTCTTTCTAAAAGAACCATGCCCTGGCAACATCAGGAACTAGCCAGATGTGTTTTGGGGCCTGCCTGGGGCTCCCTTGCTAGACTCTCTGTTCCTTTATGAACCTCAAGCCTCTGCTTCCTTCCAAGCCTTTCCAGGCCAGGCACTTGCTTGTTCTCTCTCTTCTCTTCTCTCTTCTTTTCTGTCTCTCCCTTTCTCTTCTCTTCCCCCTTTTTCTTGTCTCCCATTCATCTCAAGGTAACTTAAAGTCCATTTGTTACTCCTCTTAAAATTATTTTTATTTTATTTTTTTGAGACAGAGTCTCACTCTGTTGCCCAGGCTGGAGTACAGTGGTGCAATCTTGGCTCACTGCAACCTCTGCCTCCCGGGTTCAAGCAGTCTTCTGCTTCAGCCTCCAAAGTAACTGGGATTACAGGTGTGTGCCATCATGCCTGGCTAATTTTTGTATTTTTAGTAGATACAGGGTTTTACCTTGTTGGCCAAGCTGGTCTCGAACTCCTGGCCTCAGGTAATATGCCCACCTTGGCCCCCTCAATGTGCTAGGATTACAGGCATGAACCATTGCTCCCGACCTGAAAGTTATTTTAAATCTAGACCTTTATCTGAAATTGCAGAGAGTAAGATGTTTGTTCTCCATTTAAATGGGAACCTAAAATGTCTGAAGGGCTGCTTAGCAATGCTGTTGGGAATGACTGATGTTTGAAAGTGGTTATGTGCCTTCAGGCCCATCTATGCAGCGTTTGTGAACTCGAGTAACTACAGAAGACCAATGCATATCCTGCCTATGGTTCAGACCTGTGGGTAAGATTTGATCTAGCCACTCCTTTCATTACACTTAGAGATGGACCCCCCCACCCCATGGCTATGACTGGTCTTCTGCAGTGACAAATGCTCATCAGCATCACGTGGATGGGCATAAACTCACCTACCCACTTTCAAACATTAGTCATTCCCCACAGCGTGGCTCTTTGAAGATATGGTATCAGTATCAAAAGCTTTGCTCTATCAGATTTCTGGGAATATATTTACCATGAACCCTGGAGGAAAAAGAGATTAAATTAGGCAATGTTCATGCTATTTTTTTTTTCCCCTAGAAAGCCCTTTTTTCCCCTTTTATGCTCTGTTCAATGGATATTTTCTTTGCTCCCTAGAGAGACATTGAAAAGGAAGGTTAGTGGGAACCGTTGCACCAGCCCTGTTACTAGTCCAAGTTCAAAGAGGGACGCTCACTTCTGCGCCGTCTGCAGTGATTACGCGTCGGGATATCACTATGGAGTCTGGTCGTGTGAAGGATGTAAGGCCTTTTTTAAAAGAAGCATTCAAGGTACAAGAGAATTGTTAACTGCTTTAGTTTCCTACTTTTGCTTTCAAACAATTTTGCAGAGATGACTTGGCAGAAATGTCACCACTGGCCTGTTTGGCACACAAAGTATTTGATGAGCAGTTCAGAAGATCATGTGTGTTTGGGAGTGGGTTGGGTGGTGGGGTGGAATTGCAGATTTCTACCCCAGAACCCCAAAATTATACAGCCAACTCGAATGGGTCTTACTCCTCTTTCACTCACATGGGTGTTGGATAGAAGGTGTCGAGTTACAACCTTGTAAAGGTGTCTCTTGGAAAAAATATGCTCACAAGGAGTTGCAAAGATTGTTTCTTTCTTTTACTTAAATTTAATATATAGCATGCTTAACAGTCATGATGGTGGGCTGGCTCCTGAGGAAGAGAGAATAAACACATTTTATGGAAATGGTCAGAAATCAGGAATTCAGCTGCAGTGGACTTTGAGAATTGATTAGACACATTTCTTCCCCCAGTCTAGGAGGGTCTCAGTTCACGATCACCTTGTTTTCTGAGCTGAGTTTAGATTTTTTCCCTAACTTTCTCTAAATTCCTTCTGGGCTGTTTTTTTTTGTTTGTTTATTTTAATCAACTTGTTAATGAAAATCAAACTCTGTAAAATATTTGAAGAGATTTATTCTGAGCCAAATATGAGTGACAAGTGGCCCGTGACACAGCCCTCAGGAGATCTGAGAACATGTGCCCAAGGTGGTCAGGCCACAACTTGGTCTTATACATTTTAGAGAGACATAAGGCATTAATCAACGCATGTAAGATATACATTGATTCAGCCTGAAAAGGCAGGACAACTGAAAGCAGAGGCTTCCAAGTCACAGGCGATTCAAAGATTTTCTTGGTTGGCAGTTGGTTGAAAGAGTTATTATCAATAGGAAGCAATGACTGGGTTACAATAAGGGATTGTGGAGACCAAGGTTTTGTCATGCAGATGAAACTTCCAGGTAGCAGGCTTCAGAGAGAATAGATTGTAAATGTTTCTTAGGGAACTTAAAGGGTCTGTTCTATCAGTGATTCCAAAAGGGAGAAGGGTATAATGAACCATGTCTGGCTCCCTCTTCCCATCATGGCCTAAACTTATTTTTTGGGTTAACTTTGTAATGCCCTTGGCCAAGAGGAGGGACCCATTCAGATGGTTGAGGGGCCTTAGGATTTTATTTTTTGGTTTATAAATTTCAAATTGCGCACCCCTGATTTCAAGGCTGGTCAACCCATCTCCCTGCATGTGTCCTTGCTACACTCTCTCTCCCTTGCCAGCCCTGATTTGTTGAAGTCACTTTCTTGCTTACTCTTGTTTTCTCTTTTTGCCTGTCCCTCAATCACCCCCTCCCAGGCAACACCCTACGTTTCCATCTGAAAGCTCCCTTCCTTTTTCTATCAAAGCCCCAGCTCTTTGTTCTTTGCCAGTTAAGAAAAGCAACGTTGAGGGAATTCGTAGTGTGCAAATGGCAAATAGCAATTTACTAAATTAACTCACCAACTGATAACTCTAGATTAAGAGGATGTTTTACCTCAATCAGAGAAATACTGATAGAATCCAGGATATGGTGAGGAGTGAAATGTTGGTAAAGAGTCACCTTCCTACCTGTCCCCTGAAATTCACCCTGTATGAATGGCAGCCTCTTTGTCCCGGATTTTATACTTATTAGCTCGGTGACTTCACCTCCCAGCCGATTTCCTTCTCTGTGAAATGGAGACACTCATAGGGATTTTCTAAAGATGAAATGAGGTTGATTGATATGAAAACATATTCAGTGCTCAAATATTTTATCTGTGACAACTATAACAGTAGATTATAAGGCCAGGTCCAGTTCCTTGCTATATGATAAGAACAATCTGGATTTTCTGAAATTCTGACCTTGATATGATGACTATTTTCTATCTTGCTGAGGTTCTAGGATTTTACCCCTTAAGAACATTTGGACCTATTACTACTAACCGTATCTTTTAAAAAGAGATCCTTCTTTTTTTTTTTCTGTTGGGGAAACATCTGTCTGCTTGAAACATCTTTGACCCCTGAGACTACAGCTAATAACAGTTGAAAGTAAATTTCCTTGCTTCTCTGTGTTGTTTCTTCCTTCCTGCTGTATCAGACAGGAATGTCAAATTCTAAATGTGCAAAGAGGAAAGAGTTAAAGCTCTTACAGTTGTAGTGCATAAATGATCCTTTCTTTGCACTGCAGTAACTGAAAGTGGCCACTCATTTTTTAAAATTGTCTCAAATAGGCCAGGACGGTACAGTACTGAGAAATTCCTTGCATTTTTTTCTTTCCTTTTTTTTTTTTTTTGAGACGGAGTCTCTCTCTGTCATCCAGGCTCAGTGCAGTGGCACAATCTCGGCTCACTGCAAGCTCCACCTCCCGGGTTCATGCCATTCTCCTGCCTCAGCCTCCCGAGTAGCTGGGACTACAGGCACCTGCCACTGTGCCCGGCTAATTTTTTGTATTTTTAATAGAGACCGGGTTTCACCGTGTTAGCCAGGATGGTCTCGATCTCCTGACCTCATAATCTGCCCACCTCAGCCTCCCAAAGTGCTGGGATTACAGGCGTGAGCCACCACGTCTGGCCCATTCTTTTATTTTTTATGATTTTGAACTTGTCTTGCTAACTTGATTTATAAGCTAATTGACCATATCTTAGTCATGTATCTGTCCCCTTCACTGTACAAATGCACTGAAAGCTGTGTTGTGCTTGCTGTTCCATTGATACTTTGTTGGCTTCCTCACACAATGAGTTGCCATCAGACTGATAAGTGCCGCTGTTTCTCTCCTGGGTTATGGAGCACAGAGGAAGGAGAAAATAGGGAGAGCGACCTCATCCCTTTGTCTGGTCCAGATGAAGGCGTGGCTTATTTTTCAAGCTTATCCTTTCCTTTTTGTTCTCTTTCCTGTTGGTGTTCCTTTAACAAATATTTGTTGAGCACTGTACTGGGCTCTATGGATACAGTGGTGAGCAAGACAACAGATTATAGATTCCATGAGGACCAGGGTTTTTGTCCATTTTGCTCACCAGTAGCACTTAACAATTCCTTGCATATGATTTTTCAAAATTAATTGGGCTTATACAGAGTTCTGTATCCTTTTTCACTTAATATTGTCTTATAAGCATTTCTGTGGTTAAATTTCCAGAGACTTTTTTCACAACTGTGTAATATTCTATCTTATCAGATTTATTTAACTCTTTATTGTTGAAGACCTTATCAATTATTTTCAGTTTTTTAAACAATGCTGTGGTTAATTTATTTGTTAATGAAGTTTTGAAAAAATCTCTAATAGTTTCTCTGGATATATTTTTAGAACAAATCTGTGGGATCAGAGTATATTAATGTTTAAAGTTCTTGACAGATGTTTTCAAGTGTTCAAGTCTCAAGAAGGTTGTACAGACTTGCTCTTCTGCCAGCAGCATGAGTGTCTCTTTTACCAACCTCTTGGTAGCATTGACTCTTATCAAAAAGAAAAAACCTTGCTACATTGGTATCTTTTGGTTTTAATTTGCTTCTCTTTATTAGTGAGGTAAATGTTTTCTCATAAATTTATCTGTCATTTGTATTTTCTGTTTTATCTTTTTTATTCAGAGCTTTTGCCCATTTTTCTATGGGGTTCTGACATTTTCCTTTTAAATTGTGTGCTTCATATATTAACCTATTATTACATGTATGACAAATATTTTTTCCACTTGACTCTGATTTTGACATACAGAAATATTTAATCTTTAAATAGTCAAATATTACCAACTTTGATAGTTTTGTATATAGTTTTTAAGCCTAAAAAGTCCTTTCACACCCAGGCATTATATAAACTTTTGCCTATGTTTTGTTATTTAATAGTTTGTTTTTACATTTTATTATTTAATTCAAAAGGAATTTATTTTGGCATACTGAATGAAATAATCAAATGTATTTATCTCTAAATAGTTAATTTTCTCCACATCATTTTACTGAATAAATCCATTCATTTTTCATTGATTTTTAAAATATGGGAGTCAATTTTAAAACGTTGAGTTTGAGATACAATTTGCATACGATAAAATTTACCTATTTTAATTATATGGATTTATGAGTTTTGAAAATATGTGTAGTCATGCAACCACCACCATAATTAAGATGGGAATTTATTATCACCCCCCAGAATTCGCTTATGTCCACTGCAACCCATTTCTCCTGAATTTCCCTGGCCCTGGGAATCACTGGTCTGTTTTCTGTCCCTCTAGTTTTGCCTTTTTGAGAATGTCATACTGTATTTCAATTTGGCTTTTTACTTAAGATGCTTTTGAGATTTATCTGTGTTGTTGCATCAGTAGTTCATTCCTTTTTGTTGCTGAATAATATTGCAATGTATAGATATATCACTGTTCATTCATTCATTGGCATTGTTTAAAGTTTTGTGCTATTTTGAATAAAACTGTTATGAGCGTTCATGCATATCTCTCTGTGCAGACATATGATTTTGTTTCTCTTGGGTACCTACGTGTAAAAGTGCTAGTTGTATGATAAGTATATATTTAACTTTATACGAAACTAACAAATTGTTTTCCAAAGTGGCTGGACCACTTTGCATTCTTGACAACAATGTATGAGAGAGTTCCCATTGCTTTACATCTTTGCCAAAACTGGATATTGTCAGTCTTTTCAATTTTTGCCCTTTTAATGGTATGCAGTAGCATCTCATTGTGGTTTTAATTTGCATTTCCCTGATGATGATTTTGTGCATCTCTTCATGTTTCCATTGGATTTTGTTTCTCTACATATGTATAAATATGATATACAAAGTTCTTATGTATACTAGCATTTTATCCTGACTGTTCCATTGATCTCTCTCTTCATTCTTGTATAACAACTATTTTACATGATTCTACATTATTTGAACTATTATAGTGTTATAATGTATTTAACACCTGCTGGTACAAGTTAAAAAATGTCCTAGCCATTTTCTCTTGTTTTTTTCATAGGAATGTTAGAATGATTTTATTACA